GAGTTCACAGGATAATGAAATGAGTTAATTTCTAAATGTAAAAAGCTTACAGCAATTCCTGGCACATGGTTAGTTCTCAACAAATGTAAGACACCACCATGACTCCATATCTGTCTTGGATGACCTCATTATCCAGTCTCCTACAAAGCAGGAAAATGGCTTCCTTGACATTAAACTGAAAGTAACAAAGCATAGTAGTAAAGAACACAGGCATGATTTGTGGTCTACCAGCATTTTGTTTTAATGTCTTAAAATTAAGCATCTTGGGTAGGTATTATTCAGATACAACATGCATATCTAGCCCTGGCCAGTGTGGCTCAGTAGGTTGGGCATTGTCCCCTGCACTGAAAGGTTGCCATTTTGGTTCCCGGTCAGAGCACATGCCTGGGCTGCAGGCTTGGTACCCTGGTGGGGGGCATGCAGGAGGCAGCCCATTGGTGTCTTGAGTATTTTGCTCTCACATGAATGTTTCTCTCTCTCTCCTCTCTCCTCTCTCCTCTCTTCCTCCCTTCCTACTTTCCTCTCTCCATTCCTCTCTCTAAAAATCAATAAAAACTATTTTTTTTAAAGAATGCACATTTAATAGTCATTCTGGTTTATCTCAAGACACAGGACAGTGCGGACTTTACGCCGGAGCACAGGACGAGAAGGGAGTTAGCCACTGATACAGCTGCTTCCACTTACAGACAAAGCTATTAACAGCATGACACTGCTTAGCCTGGAAGCAAGGTTTTTCTCCATTTATATTTAACTAAAGGTTTCATTTACATTTAATAAATAAAGCATTTACCTTTGAACAAAATCAGATAGGTAAGTTGATAGAGGTCAAGATCTTTAAAGCAAAGTAAATTGAGAAGACTCAGGACTTTATCCTAAGTCTATATGGAGTAAGGAATTTAAAATAATATAAAATATGGGATAAGAGTTGTATTTTTTTATTAATTTAAATATATTTTTATTGATTTCAGAGAGAGAGAGAGAATGAGTGAGTCACTGACCATCTGCCTCCTGCATGCCCAACACCGGGGGTCAGGCCTCCAATCTGGCATATGCCCTAACCGGGAATCAAACATGACCCCCTGGTTCATTGATCGACACTCAACCATTGAGCAACACCAGCCACACCAATAGTTGTGTTTTTTAAAAACTCATTGGCTTTCATTTCACATGACCTTAGCATCTGAAGAATCATCAGCTTAGGCCTGATTATGCTTCAGGGTTGGGGCTGCTCCCTTCCCATCGGGTTGCCATTTCTGACTTGGTGATATTTCATTAGTGTCACTCACAGGCTGTATTCAACATGAAACCTCCACGTAAGGCCACCCGTGACTGTTCTTTCCCAGTTTCCCCGGCTTTGATGAGTCATTCATTGCAATACAGCCCTCTGAACCAGCGGCTGATAAGAATAGACACACAATAGGAAAACAATGCCGCTGAGAGCTGCGGCCGAAAGCACTGGGAGCTCATCCGTGTGCTCACAGCTGTGCTGTATTCCGCTGTGTGCCCATGCACACGTCTCCACCTCTCAGGGCCCCGGGCTTCTCGCACATAAAATAAAGTTTCTAGGGTCAACTTTGGAGTTTAATATCCACCAAGAAATAAGAGATAAGCACTTTCAGGGACAGTGCTTCGTGGTTTGTGTAATTATAGTAGCTTTGCTGGCTTTTGGAAAACAGCAGTGGCCGATGAGTCAGCCTGGCATGTAGCTATTGGAGATCAGTGATGCTTTTCTTGTTGGGGGGAAAAAAAAAAAGAAAAAAGACCTGACTACCGCATAAGTTTAGGGGTCAGTGGTCAGGGCGATGCCAAGTTTTAGAAATAGCAGCAAGCCTCTTGTACAGAGGACGGTAAAAGGGGATCGTTGTCACGAACTGGTTCTCCCTGCCACATCTCCGTGTCAGCTGTCCTCGGGGAAGGCACTCACGTGGGAGGCCATGGGTGTGACCTCCCCATTCAGCAAACAGCCCACTGCACATGTTGCGTGGGATTCACCACCAGTGGCTGGGGAGTGGCAGGTGGTATTTTGGAACCTCCTCCTTCTGCCTGATTTTGTTCTCCAAGGACGGGCAAAAAGGAAACTCCAGTCAGATGCATGTTCTCTTAGCAACTCCAGCGGCAAAGCCCTGGATGAAGCCTGGGCTCCTGTAGAGATGAGCAGATCTGACTACCCATCCTTCCGCCTTCCTCTGGGCCCCGTCTCGGACTCCTCCGATGGCCAGAGAAGTGTGGGAAAAAATCCCCTTCCTCGCAGGGCTGGGCCCGAGCCTGCCTGTCTGCTGACCCTGTGCTTCCCCACATGTCAGTGTGGCTGACACAGCGGATGTCAGTCCCACGTGGAACAGGAAGAGGTTGGGTTGGGAACCAAAGTAGGGCTCATTCTGAATTTCATCTGTGTCACTTCCTGGCTCTGGGCCCTGGGCTGAGTTATTTGGCTCAGGTAATAAGTGTGATAATATTAATAGTCATCATGCAGGTAGCTTCACTGTGTCTTCGAGAACCACGTTGTATTCTTCAACCATATGCAAGTGCCTCCTCCTTAGAGACAGTGAAGGTGGGCTAGAAACTAGGCCTTGGACTCCCCTTTCCCCATCCTTTCATCCTCAAGAGGATCTCGGCTACAGAGGCAGAGCTGACTCACAGAGATGGGCAAGGATCCCCACTTCTTACACATGCATGTCTCCCCCCCCACCCCCCAACAAAGGTTTTCAAACTCTGTAAGCAATAATCTACTTTTTAAAAATATTACATGAAAATGTAAACTGAGTAAAAGTAGGCTTTTGTTTAAAAAAATATGGTTAGGTTGAAATTTATAATAAACCTAATAGGAATGATGAAGCAGTTTTGTTGAATATAGGCATTTGAAATAGGGGAGATAATAGATGACTGATCCAGTTATTTCAAACCCCTCCCTCTCCGAACATATAGATAAGTACAGTTGTACCTCAGTATCCTGGGTGGGGGGATTAGTTTCAGGACCCCAGCAGATATACAATCTGTGGATGCTCCAGTCCCTTATTATACAAAATGGGGAAGAACAAGGCACACAGTTGACCCTGCGCATCCACAGATGCCTACGTATTGAAAATACTGTTTTCGACCCAGGGTTGGTTGAATCCTAGGTCACAAAATTCATGAATATTGGGGAGCGAGGTAGACTATGATTGCAAAATAGCTCTCCTTTCAGTCAAGTGATACTGGTCAATGAAAGAAGAAAGGTAGGATATGCCACGGCTGCCAACAGTATGTAAACCAGCACATATCTATTCATGTGTAACAGATGGGAATGAACTTTTGAATTATTGCCTTTTCCCCCAAAAATGCTTATACATGTAAAGAAAGAAATTTAAAGTAAATGTTAAAATGTATATGACACCTCTATCGAACCCTGAGGTTCGGCAGAAGAGTGCTTAGCCCTGCCTCCTTAGATCTTGCGGCACTCACATCTCAGTTTGCTCTCCGTTTCCGTGTGTGTGTGTGTGTGTGTGTGTGTGTGTGTGTGTGTGTTGGCTTATGGAGATACATACAGTTTTCAAACCTCAAGACCATTTTGTATAAAATGTGGTGACATCTGAACGAGAGCTGCAGTCTGGTTGAGTTCTGTGTGAGTCCATGACTTGTTTTGATAATTGTGCTGTAGCGATAGAAAATGTTACCCCTGGAGGGAGTTGGGTGAAGGGTACATCTATACAGCACTGTTTTTGCAATTTTCTCCGCATCTGTAATTATTGCAGAATTTAAATGTTAGAAAGATGTTTGAAAACAGCTGTCTTGTCATTGTTGGGAAGGAGTACACCAGATTAGCAGAGCAGTGAACACACCACACTCACAGAGGGGATTTCCGTGATCTTACCTTCAAAAAGAGCATCTTCTTTTTCCTGGCCACTGAGTTCCCTGTCCTCCACACTCTGTCACACTGTGACACTGTGGGAGTTTCAGAAAGAAAACCGCCACTGGCACACCACGGAGAGCTCTTTGGGGAAATCCAGTGTCGCAGCGGCTCAGTTACCCGGTAAGAAAACGGCACTGAAACACGAGTGCTCCGTCTGCGGTCACCTGACACAGAAGGCATGTGGGTAAGGAAGCATGCTTTTGGGAAGCATTCCTATGCTGAGCACCTCTAGTAATCAGGCCAAAGAGTGTCCGCATGCCATGATAGCACGCTGTGGCCCGTGTACACATCAGCGTCCGGAAGCCTGGCGCGGTGACGCACGGTGATGAGGACTCTCGGGAGGAAAGGTGAGGGGGGACATAGTTTAAAGAGTAAACCTTTGATCCCCTCCCTTCTCTGTGGAGAGGGAACGTGAGGAGGCGATAGTGAACTGTGGTTCTCGGTTTCCCTGGATTGTACAGCGTGCCGTCAGTGACTGCCTTGGTCTTGGATAGGATTGATGGTGGTGGTGGTTTTTTATCACTTGGAGGAACGCAACAGAATTCCCTGAGCCATCTTCCCAGTTCTGTCTTCCTTGTTTTTGCCAAAAAAAAATGATTATCTTGTCTGCTTTGACTCTAATGGATCAGTGGGGTTGGTCACACCTGTCAGACACCTACGAAGGTGACCGTGCTCAGAACAGTGCTTGGGTTAATGTGTTCGTGTGTGCCGATAGAAGCCATTTTTATTTTTTTAATATATATTTTTATTGATTTCAGAAAGGAAGGGAGAAGGAGGGGGCGAGAGAGAAATATCAACGATGAGAGAGAAACATTGATCAGCTCATTCCTGCACTCTCCACACTGGGGACTGAGCCTGCAACCTGGGCATGTGCCCTGCTGGGAGTTGACCTCTTGGTTCATAGGTCAACGCTCAACCACTGAGCCACACCAGCCAGACTATAATTTGTTTTTTAAAAATCGGTTTACTCAGATATCAAAGGTCCTTTGCATTAAGCCGGGTGTTAGTTTGGGGCCAGGCATGGAGATGCCCTGGCTGACTCTGGAGACTACAAGCCCTCAGCTTTTCCCAGAACCACTCTGTCTGACCAGCTCTTCTGGCTTCTCCTCAGGGTCATCAATGCCGGGAAGAGCACGCACAACGAAGACCAGGCCAGCTGCGAGATACTCACCGTGAAGAAGAAAGCGGGGGCCGTGGCCTCCACCCCCAACAGGAACTCCACCAAGAGACGGTCCTCCCTTCCCAATGGGGAGGGCCTGCAACTGAAGGAGAACGCGGTAAGACCCCGCTCTGCCCCCGGTCTCGGGGAGGGGAGCACACACACCCCAGTTCCAGCTGAGTGCAGTGTCATGGACAGGAGAAAGGCAGGCCCCAGGGTTAGTGAAGGGAGGTCTCTGCTCAGGCTACCAGTCAGCTGAAGGCAACATCTGTGTGAAGAAGTGGTGTGTAGGTTTTTAACCTTTATATAAAACACCCAAATCATACATAGATTTTATTGCAAGAATCGGTATGTGGAACATTTGATGGTCTTAAGGTAGCCATTACAAGGCTTTTGTAAAGGAGCTAGTTGGGCAGCCACTCACAGGGGGTGGAAATAACTGTTGCCATTGACCCGCAGCCCCGCTATGATCGTGCCCCCTTCTCCCCTTCCCTGTCCCTTGGGGTTGTCCAGCTGGAGCCTGTGCCCGAGCCTATTGCAAATTCACATTTGTTTCACTGGGCCCAGAGCCCTGGCGTCCATCCCATGGGGCGGCCCTGCAGACAAACCACAGAGCATGTCTCCTCCCTCCTGTTCCAGGAGGAGACAGCAGTCATCCTCCGAAAGTTCAGAAGGAAATTCGGGAAAAGATAGGGAATGATTGGCACTGGGTCCACCAGCGGCCCTGTGGTACTGCAGAGGAGAGACATTGAGTGGATGACCCAAATGTGACTGCTTATTTTGACAAACATGTACAGATCTTTTTGTATCAAAATGTCTACAGGATTGCAAAGGATCTAGGATTCTCTTCGTAGACTAAGATAGTGTCTCGATGCATTTACGTTTTAAGGAATAAGTACTGACGTATTTTGATAGTATTACATCAGCTCAGAGTTAGGAAACAGAGGGGCCCATGGAGACTGTCAGTTGCATTCCAAATCATGGCAGAGGCCCTGAGAGAGGGACGGCCTGGCGTTTTAAAGCCCCAGCAAGAGACTCGTGTGTCTGGAGCAGAGAGAGCTGTCAGAAAGGGCATGGGAGTGGAGTGAGGAGCCTGGCAGGACCCGAACAGCCCGTAATCAGGACTTTGGCTTCCACTCTGAATGAACAATTTATTAGCAAAGGACACTGGATACACTGCCTAATGAGGCCAGTGATTTTTCTCATCTAAGGACATCCCTTAACTCAGATATGGCGATGCTTAGGAAAGGGTAATGACATAGGGCCCCAGCAAGAAAACATCCGTAGGAGACAAGTAATGTGGGTCTTACGAATCCATCTCCTTTTTGTTTGTTTTTTTGTTAATCCTCACCTGAGGATATATATCCTCCCTCCTCCCATTGTTTTTCAGAAAAAGTGGAAGGAAGGGAAAGAGGAGAGAGAGATAAACTTCTAGGTGAGAGACACATCACTGGTTGCCTCCCCTACCGGCCCTCATCCTGGTTAGAAATACTGTTCTGGAACTCAGGAGCTGTATGAAGACCAAAGTTCTAACCACTTAACATGCCGGTCAGGGCTGAATCTATTTCTTCATTCAACAGACATGTATTGAGCACTGAGTCTGCATGCTAGGCTTGGGGATAGGTGGTACACTCAGTCCAGTTCCTATAGCTGAGCGGAGGAGGAAGAAAGAGGCCATATGCAGCAGGACTACAGAGGAGTGAGTTTTAGGAGAAAGATGAAGAGCTGAAACGGTACGGAAGCCTAAGTCAGGCTGGGCACTGGTGGTTTGGGAAACCACGGAGCAGAGGGGATAGGTTGGGTTACAGAAGGCTGCCTAGAGAAAGTGACATTTGAGAAAAGTGACTAGGAATTAACCAAGCCGATAAAAGAGAGAGGAGTTTCTGACAGGCAACACGTGTGTGCAAAGGCAGGCTGGTGTCGGAGCACATGGGGCCTGTCTCCAGTGTGCTGGAGCATGAGGAGTCGCTTGGAGCGTGATGACGCAGAAACAGCAAGCAGATTTCACATACAGGAGCCACTTAATGCCTCAATGAGCTGGAATTTTAACCAAATGACTTTATTTTTTTAAAAAAAATATATTTTATTGATTTTTTTACAGAGATGAAGGGAGAGGGATAGAAAGTCAGAAACATCGATGAGAGAGAAACATCGATCAGCTGCCTCCTGCACACCTCCTATTGGGGATGTGCCCACAACCAAGGTACATGAATTTGACTGGAATCGAACCCGGGACCCTTGAGTCCACAGGTCGATGCTCTATCCACTGAGCCAAACCGGTTTCGGCTTAACCAAATGACTTTAGACAAGAGCATCATGGACAAGACAGAAGTGCCAGTGGGAAGCTCGCTACGGAAGGTTAGGGGAGCCGGCTAGAGGCTGGGACACCTAGGAGTCTGCCTCAAGCAGGAATCTGGCTGGGAAATGATGGCAGCTTGGAATAAGGCAGCGATCAGAGCAACGGAAGGCCCAGAGGAGATGATGTGAGAGACACAGTTGAGGTGCCCAGATGACCTCCTCACGAGCAGGGAAGAGTTAGAGGTGCCAAGTTTCAGCTCCTGGATGTTGGTCCTTGAATGTGGGCTCTGGAGCAGGTACAGGGCTAAAGGTGAGGGGAGGGCGGAAATGACTTGAGTTTGGAATATTCTAACTTCCTAGGTTGGAAGTGTTTTTGTAAGATGTTAGAAATACCGCTCTAGAACTCAGAAGCAAGAGGAGGGAGGTTTAGATTTCAGGAGTTGCAAACTCAAAGACGTTTCAACAAGAGAGTGGGAGTGGAAGGGAGGTAACCATGCCCTCAGCCATAGAGACGTCAGAACAATAAGGTTGAAAAGGGGGCAAATACTCTCCGTAAGAAATGGGACCGCGGGATAAATAATGGCACCATTACCTTATTTGTAAACAGGGTTGACATATGAAGGCTGCAGAAGGAAGATGCATGGGCTTCTTCTACGCGGTGTGATTCATGTCTCCCTGCTTTCTTCATCTCCTCATCCCCAATAAACTTAATAAAGTAAAAATAAACATTTACAGAGTTCTTTCATCTAGAATGCCACCTTTTTTAGTGGTTGTTGAAGGAAACAAACTTTTCTGTAAAGTAACATTAAATTCACACTGGAAAAAAGAATTAACCAACCATAGGAGTTGTTTTGTTTTGTTTTGTTTTGTTTTGTTTTGTTTTAAATATATTTTTATTGATTTTTTTACAGAGAGTAAAGGAGAGGGATAGAGAGCCAGAAACATTGATTTAGTTGCCTCTTGCACACTCCCCACTTTTCAATGCGCCCGCAACCAAGGTACATTCCCTTGACCGAATCTAGCCCTGGACACCTGAGTCCGCAGGCTGACACTCTATCCACTGAGCCAAACCAGCCAGGGCCCCATAGGAGTTTTTTTTTTATATACGTTAGAAATCATCAGTGATAGAGGGATTCTCTAGAAGTCTGGCTTTTTGTTCAATGACATTTCTTATATTGAATGGCCATAGAAGTAACTGGATAAAATGAGATGGTATGTTTCTTACTGCAGATAATTATTAATTGGTGTAAAGATTTTAAGGCAACTGTAAGCCATCTCTTATGCCGATTCAAAGAGAAGTCTTTTAGCCAAAGAAGTCAAATTAATCTTCCTGTGTGAAAACAAAACTTAAAACACACACACACACACACACACACACACACACCAAAAAAAAAAAAAAAAAAAAAACTTGGTGGAAACAATAACATACATTATATTCTGCCTCTCCTGGCCTCCATGAGGCACTTACTGGAGGAGTGCTGTTTCTCTGTATCTGGCTGAGCTCTCAACAGCAGCTCCTGACTTTAAGAAAGAAAACAAAGTCATTTCAGGCTCCAGCTACATATAAGGAAAAGGTCGAGAACTAAAGGACCAATGTTTGGAAGACTTCATAAAACGTAAAAGGGATACAAGTAAAAGCGCTTAAGAGTGTTCTGCACTCTAGTGTTTTCTCCTGAAGGAACGCAAGGAGACATGGTTGAGTTATTGTATTCTTCTTCACAAAATACTCAGTAATGGATCCAGTTTCTTTTTAAATTTCGAGGGTAGGGACATAGTGAAATGAAGAAGTTTTGAAGCATCTGCAGTGGATGTGAAGGAGAGAAGGATGCTTTCTGTGACAGGCCGGGCTGGAACTCTCCCTGTGCCTGGGTCACGGTGGTGGTTTCTGTGTGAAGAACTGTAAGCCCAAAGCAGGCAGGTTGGAAATGGATACCAGGGCAATGGATAATGTTGCAAGTCTCTTAACATCTCCATGCCTCTGATTCTTTGTTTGGGGACATAGTGTGGGTAGCTAGGAAGGAAGAGAATCTAAAATGCAAGTATTCTGCCCTAGCCAGTTTGTCTCAGAGCATCTGCCTGTGAACTGAAGGGTCCCAGGTTCGATTCAGGCCAAGGGCACATGCCTGGGTTGTGAGCTCAATCCCTCTCTCTCCCTCTCCCCCCTCCCCCCAGTAAAGGTTGTGCAAGAGGCAGCCAATCAATGATTCTCTCTTATTGTTGATGTTTCTCTCTCCCTTCCACTCTGAAATCAATAAAAAAAAATACATATTTAAATTAAAAATAAATAAAATACTAGTATTCCCAAAAGACACCTTCATAAGACTGTCCCTTAGGAAAGATCCTGTTCACTTGCTGAGCAACACTTTATCCCTAACAGCCTCCTGCCTGCCTCCCAATGTTTGTGGGAACTAATCACCATTCCTCGGTTTTATTTCCTTTGATTTGAGAGGTTTTAAGGAATCTTCATTTATCATGATGATTGCCAGCCTCAAGTGCAAGCATAGCTTTTCTAAGAACTTTGCTTTTCAGTTCTCAAGTATCTAATTCTAGGGATGAGATAAAGAAAAGGACACCAGATGAGTTCGCTCTTGAGGGCATCTTATAAACCTAGTGTTAAAGAGTTCCTGTCCTTCCCAAACAGGAAAAAGCTAGAGGAGTTCACCACCACCAAACCAGTATTACAAATGTTAAGGGACATGAAGAAGAAGAAGGAGGAGGAGGAGGAGGAGAAGGAGAAGGAGAAGGAGAAGGAGAAGGAGAAGGAGAAGGAGAAGGAGAAGGGGAAACAGATCAACAGTGTGAATAATTAAATGGCAATGG